GAATGAGGTAATTAGAAACAGCTGTGTGCAATCAGAGCAATCAGGTGTGTGCAATTCGTGCTGAGTGCAATCAGTGCAATGCATGATGGGAAATGTAGTCCGGGGTGATGTGCAACAGTGTGTAGTGCGAGAGTCAATGAAATTAGAAGTTCATGGACCGGATTCGTGACAGTTAGGATAGGACAAGGGTATTTGGACGAGATACAACTATTTGAAAATCTGGAATCTGAGGGTGCAAAAAAATAAAAATATTGAGAAAATCGCCTTTAAAGTTGTCCGAATCAAGTTCTTAGCAGTGCATATTACTAATCAAAAATTAAGTTTTAATATATTTACAGTAGGAAATTTACAAAATATCTTCTTGGAACATGATCTTTACTTAATATCCTAATGATTTTTGGCATGAAAGAAAAATCTATAATTTTTACCTATACAATGTATTGCTACAAATATACCCAAGCGACTTAAGACTTTAAAGTTTTGTGGTCCAGGGTCACAAATATATATGGTGATATCATTAAAAACAAATGTTTGTTTGTCTCTTTTAGGAGCGTTTGTGATCTGTTGGACTCCTGGACTTGTGATTCTGCTTCTGGACGGACTCAAGTGCGAAAAATGCGACGTCCTGAAATTCAAACGCTGGCTGCTGCTCCTCGCCGTCCTCAACTCCGTCATGAACCCGATCATCTACTCCTACAGAGACGAGGAAATGTGGACCACCATCAAGAACCTGATGTGTTGCGTTCGCAACGGGACGAGGCGGCAGAGGTCGTCCAAGGCCAACATTCAACGCGGCTCTGGTCGGGAGACAACCAGTAGCCTGAAAGAGAATACAGCAGAGGACAGCAAGGTCTCCACACAGGAGATGCTAAAGTCTTGAAGGTGGGCCGGACTCGTTTTTGACTCTGTGAAGACCGTTTTAATCACCCTGGTGTGCCATTGCTCCTGAACTCTCCTGAGGTCTGCTCTCATGGAGGAAAAGTTAGAGCAGAACTCAAAAGGAGTTTAATGACAGTACAAAGCAATGCACTTATTTTTACCATTTTCAGTGATAGTTGCCCGTATTAATGCCTGCGTGCAGCATGTCTGAGCATGTGCACTACCCACCACACCACATCTCCCACAGCAATGCACTTGTAAAGTTTCACTTTACCTCATTAATTCAGCTTTTGACCATTTCTCAAGATCCGAAACAGATTTCATTAGTATACTGTACTGTCGTAAAATCTGTTTTCTAAGTATACTGTACTGTTTAAAATGAGTCTTTGACTTGTTTAAATCTTAAAATGGATGTATGTAGTATGTAGATCATATGTAGACTTGATGTAGATATTAATGTAAGCATTTGAGAGATTTCATATGCATTTCAAAGTCTTCATGTGTGAGAATAATTTTTACTGTGTATAGTCGAATATTAGATTTAAATATTAGAATTATAATTATGTAATACATGATTAAGTGGTCAATTATGCCCATGTAAATACATATCGGTACTGCTAATTTGTTGTTGTGGTTTCATGTGTAAAAGATTCCCATTATTCAATATTACATATAAAATGTAGCTTATTTCATATGCACTCACTGTGAGGGGGAGAAAGAAAAACAAAAAATTGCAGTTTACAGTGTAAATGAGATTATCTATCTCTCTATCTCTCTCATTGTATTTTAGTTCAAGAACAGAAATATATATATATTTAAGAAAAATGATGAAAACATGTTTTTTTTTTAATATGATTTTTATGGAACTGTTTTAACACTTCAGAATAAAAAAAGATGATTTAATTTTTTCAAAATTGTGACTATATTTCACAGAGCAGTGTGCTATTGTAACTAAAACTAACTATAAACATATTTTTTCAGTAATTCAAATAAACTAAAATAAAATATTAGATGAAAACAATCTTAACCCTAAATGAAAATTAAAAATTGCAACTAACTGAAATAAGTTTAAGTACTAAAACCGAAATAAAAATTAAGTTAAGCTAAATAGAAATATCTAATATAAACAATGCTGCTAAATTAAACAAAATGACTAAAACTTAAACTAAGCTCAAAATGAAAACTGAAAATAACAAAAATAACATCAATTTCAACACTGGTTGAGGCTTCAGATTTCAAAATGTAACTACTTCCTTTTTTTCCTGAGGTGAAAAAAACGACCGTCCGTAATATAGTCTATACAATTTGTAATTTGATAAAAATGATAAAGTAAATTCCTTATTCCTCCGGTTAACATTATTGGGTCCTTTATTTAAGTTTTCATCCTATCAACCCCTCCTAATGTGCGTTAAGCCCGTAGGCTGAAATCCAAACTGCTAGGTCAGGGGTACAGAATTAACCGGTTTCCTTTCTTCAGGTTTTGAAATGGTGAGATATTCCCCGTCTTACGCAATTCTGATGCAACAAGCTCCCGTAGATCGTCTCACCTGAGCTCCAGTTATGCTCCTGGAGTTGCGACACGGCTTAATTACAGCCTGACAAAACTACAACCGTGCTTCAGATTGTATATCCTGGGAAACCAGCTTTTCCTGTTGATACTTGGGCAAAAATGTTTTCAATGGCCACCTGCAGGTCCTCATGTCGGGCGTCGAGACTGTCACGTATTACAGCATAAACAGGATGATTTATTCTTCCGGTGTGGGCACTGATTTCATAAAGATAAACCACATTGGAATCATGTCACTTTGCTGCCATAAACAGGAAATGTACACAAGGTCCTATGGCAAGCCGTTTTAGCATTTAAAAGTTTGTTTTGACTATCCATAAATATAATTTAAGATAGGAACAATTGTATTTTGACGAGTCATAATTATAATTCGACTAGACACAATGACAATTAGAGATATCTACAATTATAATTGCACTAGTAAGAAATTGGATTAGAGATATCTCTAAATACTTGACTAGTCAAAACTCCATTTAAGATATCTGTAATGACGTCATAGATATCTTCAATAGGGCGTCACACATACGCAAAGGTAATTAGAGATATCTCTAATTCAGTTCGATTAGTCACAATTATATTTTAAGATATCTGAATTGTACCTGCTCCTTGTCGAATGTGCTGTTGTGTGACGTGAGACTAAATTTACTCCGCTCCTCCCAGAGCCCTTCCCCGACTAATGTTTAGTGCTAACTGCTAATAATAGTGGTCTGCTTTTCTTGTCACGGAGAGAAAAGCTACTGGATGAAGTGCTTCAGGGATTTTTAAATAATATCTGGATGCAGCCTTATGTGGTAAAAGGTCTCCAGCGTGCATGTATGTATAGCACTGTGATTTTAATTGAATCATGTTGCAAAACGGACCAAATGCAGTTTAATGTTCAATAAAGGCAGAAAACCGCAAACTGCTCATCAGAATTTATTTATTATACATTTAGACATAATGAAGAACAATGGAATTATACAACAAAAACATGAAAAATAGTAGAAATAAATGCATGATGGACAAGAACAATGCTTCATAATCAGATGCAGTCGAAAAAGGTGATGGCTGATTTAAAAAAGATTACAATTGAATAAAAGTTTAACTGGCATTGATGACATTTATTAGTAGGTTGCATTATGTTGTGTATGGATTCAGGTTTACTTGTGTCGTTATGGCAGCTTGTTCTGCCATGGAATAAAAAATAAAAGTAATTTGCTTTTTATCTTACAATTTTTTTCTCAGAATTGCGAGATATAAACAATGCGAGTTATAAACTTTATAACTCACAATTCTTTGCATGATGATGATAATCTGCTGTGTTCAATGATGAGCGCCAATGTATTATTTTAACATTATATAAAATGTTGCAACAGCTGACATGAGGCCTACACAAATCCTTAGCTACTGATTTTGCATGTGCTCGTTTGTAAATAAAGGCTAACACAATTTAATCCACAGCACATGTCTCAACATTACGATATAGAACAGGACAAAAGCCTGTCTGAGTCCTCTCTGTGTTGTCTACCACTTTTACACATGCTCCAGCTACATTTCAGCTAACCGATCTTTAGATTTAATCACCATTGGTAGCGAGATTTATGGTAATGCTTTTCTCCTCAGTTGGTCAGAACAAACGTGGCAGACTTGTTAGCTACTTGTTCAGATGGCAATATCCGGTGAAAATGCTTATTTGGGTCATATATTCCAAGACGTAGACTAGAATCTGTGAGTGCAAAGTACAATATCCACACCGGTGCGGTGACTGACTGCCACACATACTCTTCAGAACATTAGATTCATCTGCCCTGGAGCCGTGCCGACTCATAACCCAGCAAGGAAGATAATTCCACACTCAGCTGCAATTCCCGGTTTTCAAACAGAGATGGCGACAAAGAGGCAAAACTTACGGACTGCAGCTTTAAATAAAAGCATGTAATCAATATCTGGCTGAGATTGGCATTGTTTGTATGCTGTTGTTCCAGCCACGTTGTCGCAGAAATCGAATTTCCGAATCGCTCGTCGCAAACCTAGCCCTTACAAAAATTAACCATGGTTTTATTGTAGTAAGTGTAGTAGGCTAACCATGTTTTTTTTTGGCTTATTGATTACCATTTGAATAACCACAGTTTTACTCCAAATACCATGATTAAAGATTAGTGTAGCCAAACCATAGTTCATTTGTGCTTACCATGGTTTAACTATAGTAATGTTATCGCGTGTTGTGGTAAGTAACAGCACTGAAATGTATGAAAAGCAACCAATTAAGTATTAAACTTTACCGTTCGTTCAAGTTTGCATTCAAATGTGCCCCTTTCGATGATGAACTGTTTTTGCCCATATAGTGAAAGTCAATGGGGTCCAATTTGGCCAGTCCAGTTGAGTCGGATCTTCTGCAGAATGTTTGTCATTATCCACCCTAGTGTTACTCATGAAACTCGAATGATTTTTTTATGGAATATACAGGGGTGTGTTTACGTTATGGGGGGCCCTAAGCAAATCTCCAGGAGGGGGCCCAGCGATCGCATTTCCTGGCTGTAGAAATCACGTTCCTTCCTACTCAGGAGAAATTGCGATGGCGATAGAAGTTGTGCTCCTTCTTCCTCTGGAGAAATCGAGGGGCCTCACGCAATTGCGTGCTTTGCGTCATGGGTAAGCACGCTACTGGGAATATAAAGAGTTATCAGAATGCGAAAACTGTTCTTTTACTGACAATCAAAATGCAGTCACAGTTTTAGCTACATAGTTAATCATGTTTTGAAGTCCATTTGCTTGTTAAAACTGAGAAACATATGTATCACACTTGGATTTGTTTTTATAACCTGTAATTTACAAAGTTGGAAATGTTATTCAAAGACATTTTTACAAAAGAGTTTTTACTTGTTCAAAAGTTTGGGCTCAGTAAGAATTTATCAATTTGTTTATTTATTTATTCTTTTGAAAGACATCTCTACGTCTCTTTCATCAAAGCTGCATTTATTTGATCAAATATGAAGTAAAACAAATATTTTATTAAAATGTAAAATAACTGTTTTCTATTTGAATATATTTTAAAATGTAAAACATGCATTTTCTTAATATTTGTGTGTAAAATAAGCTTTTTTCATATTTCACATTATATCTTAAATAAAATTATAAAAGGTCCTTATATCCCTTTTGATCAATGTAATGTAATATTTAGAAATAAATATTACTTACTAATGCATTCTTGCTGAATAATAAAAAAAAAAAAAATGACCCCAGAATTTTGAACAATACTGTATTTAATCATAACTTTTGTTGTTGCTCATCCATAAACGTTCCCCTTCTTTAAATTATCATTCACAAATGCTGTCAGTTTTATGTATGACTGCACTACAATTTAGTGGATAAAAAATGGAAATAAAAAACAGACCATGGTGAATGTGGCCTTTGTTTATTTTATTTTTTTTAAAGAGGAAAGTTTGCATCCCGCCAGCTGATGTTCACACTGATTACAAGCAAATATCTCATTTGACAGTATCAGACTGCATTTCAAATAGTACGTTGTTTTTATATTGGTTTTTGTGTATGTGCCGACTACAAGCGTGGGCTGAAGGTGAGTTGGATCTCCTTGGGAGAGTGAAGGGGCAGAAAGCCACTGTGTTTATGATTAGCGCCAGCTCTCTGGCTGATTGAATAATTACCGGACTATTGAGGCAACATGGAAAGAAAGAAAGAAAGAAAGACAAAATAGAGGACAAGAGGCAGCCCCTTCTTACCAAGTCAGTCTGCACTGCATCCAAACCGACAAGCAAGACAATATGGGTCTGTGGGAAACCTGCTCTGTCCTTTTCCTTGTGGTAAGTGTATGATTTTGTGACTTAATTTGGGATTTCTCAATATTTTCACGATGCAGGAGATTTATTTGATCACTTGGATGGGTTTAAAAAGACGATGGTGTTTTTTTTTTTAAGAAACCCTGTTTTACAGTGATGGTGAAATCAGCTTCACTGCCAAAAAGCTGTCAGTGAATGGACTGGATCAGACATTGTCACCCATGGCTTTTGTGTCTATGTCAGAAACACTTGTGGTCAGAATAAGGCAGTGAACGACAGACCTGTGAATTAATTTTATTTGCAATATATGCAATTTATTTAATTACTTTTCCCCCCAGCATGTAGCTTGTTTTAAGTAATTATTTTGTTTATTTATTTATTTTATTTTATTCCCAGAATGTGGAACATATTAACACATTTAAACCAAATAAATAATTATGCTGTTATGTTTTTATACTATGTCCCAGCATGTACAGTATGTGGTACATAATAGCACTTGTTTAAATCAATTATTTTATTTATTTATTTTATTTTATCCAAGCATATACATGGTACATATTAACACTTTTTAAAATAATTATTTAATTGCTTTTAAATTTAATTTCATGTAATTATTTTATTTTATAACTTGACTTGACTTGACTTAACTTAACCCAGCATGTACATGGTACATATTAACACTTTTTAAAGACAATTAAATGGTTTACTTCGGTTTTGTTTTGTTTGTTTTCCCAGCATGTACATGGTATATATTAACACTTGTGTAAAGAAATTACATTTTTATTTTTATTTTCTATATTTATTTGTTTAATTTAATAGAAAAGTTCATTTAACTTTATTTTAATGTATTTTATTTTATTTTATTTTAATTTCTAACACGGCTATGCCAATTCTGTTACTAACTGGATCACATTATGCAATATTACAGGTCAAAAGTATTCTACTTGATTCCAGTTTAAGGTGATTCAGGAAGTAAGACTAGTAAACATCGATTAGAGTTAGCATATCTTGGATAAAAACACCAATCCTGAATAACACCGATAATGAACTGATTTCAGATTCTGACTGCAGAAGGCTGGCATGACCTGGACAACACTGAATATGACTGCTGGCCCATAAAAGAACCAAACGATTACAACATGATTAGCTGTGGCGGTAATGCTGCTTTTTAAGAAAATGCTTAAGAACTAGCTACATCCAGTGTATGATACAAAGTAGTTTACGCATTCAGTTGCTTTCATTGTTGTTGCTAATTCCCTAAAAGAACAGTTCATCCAAAAATGATCTATTTTTTTCACTCTCATGTCGATCTAAACCAGTAAGACTTATATATGTAAAATATAAAATATATGGTCTAATTCTTGAACAAAATGATTTGATTCTTTTTTTAGTGAATTGCTGTCAAACCAAAACTGGCCTGAATTATTCAGTTTTGAATCTGAGGGTGAATAAATAATGGCAACATTTTTGGTGAACTCTCCCTGTAAGAATTGAAGACAAGACCTTAAGGGGAAGGCGTGGCTGACTCTTAACTTTTATAAAGAATATCTCTTTGGATTTGAGAATTTAGTCTTTGCAACTTTACAGATCTTCTTTATGCACCAAGAGCTTGTAACACTCCAAAGAGAAAGGAAAAATTGAAATCGCATCATATGACCCCTTTAAATGTACAAGCCAACTAAAGGAAGTTTCCTAATCGATAAGCCAACAATATAAGTGTTGTTTATTTGAAAGTTGATTCAAACTGAGTGTGTACCGTCACAGGTACATTTCCTTAAAGAATACAAACATTTGCTTTGGTAGATCACTTGGAGATTTCCCTTTTAAGCTTCCTTAAATTCTTCACACCCACTTGTATTATCTTTTCACAGGCTTAGAAATGGCTTGGGTTCAACGTCCACCAGAAAAAGTCACAGATGGGGAGGAGTTCAACGTTACCTACTCTGTCACTGCCTCGGATTCCTTTTATGAATATGCCGTTAAAAACAAGATTTTCCAGTTCAGGTGAGCACCACACACAATGCCGGCCTTCTCAAATGTGCTTTATTGTGTGTAGAAAACACTTTTTACTTCATTGAATGTTCAATATACCACATGAGCTTTTCTCAAATGTTAGCTTCATGTAACATCGGTTACACTATACGCTTCACTTTCTCCCACAGTAATGCCTCAGACGCCAAAATATTCTGCCTCGAGCGCGAATGTCCCGCAAACTGGAACAACGCCAATGAAGACAACTGCTGTGTTTACCACGCCAACATTCACTCCTGTCCTCTTGCGCTCATGGTCAGTGCTGTTGTGGTCGGTGTGAAGCCAACAGAAAGTGCTCTTGGATTTTGTCACACTGCTGCTGAAATCTTTGAAATAAAAACTAGGCTAAATGTGGCACATTTTGGCATGACATCAGAGGCCATAAAATGACAGTACTGAAGAATGAAGTATACCAGTTATCGTTGTCTGTGAGTGTTTCTAAACTACGTATGCTTTGGAGACAAATTTGCTGAAATGATCTGAATTATGTTGTCATTAAAATGTGGTTACAAAAAAACAACAACAAATAAACAATTAGCAACTGAATGATATGAAATGAAGTAATATAATTGAATTTAATGTGGTTACAAAAAAACAACAACAAACAATTAGCAACTGAAATTAAGTGAAATGAAATAATATAATTTAATTTAATTTAATTCATTATTACTTGTATAAAATATAATTAAAACATTAATAAAAATCTCAATTAAGTAAAATAATATAATTACACTTAAATTCTTTATTATTTAAATAAAAAAATCAAATCTAAATTATTAAATTTATTGAATTGATTTTAATTAATTATACTTAAATAAAACCTAAATAAAATAAAATCTCTTTGAATTTAATTAAACTTACTGCTTTAAATTAAATAAAACATTTAAAATCTAAATTAAACTACATTAAATTAAATATAATTGAATATACAGTAATTAAATTCATTATTACTTATATTAACTTAAATATTTAATAAATCTATCAAAAATCTAAATTAAATAATATAATTGAATTTAATCAAATTATTTAAATAAAAATTAAATCAAATTAATTTAAATGGGAAACATGTCTCTTGTGTTCACCAAGGCATTAGAAAAAATACAGTAAAGGCAGTAAAATTAAGAAATATTATTACAATTTAAAGTAATGGTTTTCTATTTTAATATATTCTCAAACTTTATTTATTCCTGTGATGCGAAGCTGAATTTTCAGTAGCAATTACTCCAGTCTTCAGTGTCACATGATCCTTCAGAAATCATTCTAATAGGCTGATTTGCTGCTCAAGAAACACTTCTGATTATTATCAATGTTGAGCTGCTTAATATTTTTGTGGAAAACGTGATACTTTTTTTTCTTCCACAAACAGAAAAATGTTTATTTAAAATATATAATTGTTACATTATAAAAACATATTTACGGTCACTTTGGAGCTATTTAATGCATCCTTGCATAATAAAAGTATTCATTTCTTTACTGATCCTATTCTTTTGATTAGTAGTATAATTAAAGTATAATAACTTTATAAGGCTCTAATTTGTGGTTTACAGTGCATCCGCAAAGTGTTCACAGCGCTTCACTTTTTCCACATTTTGTTATATTACAGCCTTATTCCAAAATGGATTAAAATCATGATTTTCCTCAAAAGTTTACAAACAATACCCCATAATGACAACGTGAAAGAAGTTTGTTTGAGATCTTTGCAAATTGATTTAAAAAAAAAAAAAACATGCACGCAAGTATTCACAGCCTTTGCTCAATACTTTGTTGAAGTACCTTTGGCACCAATTACAGCTTCAAGCTTTGATCGTCAGCATTTGGCAGTTATCTGCCATTCTTCTCCTCGCCTCTCAAGCTCTGTCAGCTTGGATGGGGGCAGACGCACATTTTCAGGTTTCTCCAGAAATATTTGACTGGGTTCAAGCTCAGGCTCAGGCTGGGCCACTCAAGGACCTTCACAGAGATGTCGATCAGCCACTCTTGCTGTGTGCTTAGGTTCATTGTCTTGTTGGAAGGTGAACATTCTGCTCAGTCTGAGGCTCTGAATGCTCTTGACTGGGTTTTCATTAAGGCTATCTATATTTTGGTGCATTGAGCTCATCTTCTACTCTAACGAGTCCCTCGGTCCCTGCTGCTGAAAAACAGCTCCACAGCATGAGGCTGCTACCAGCACACTTTACTTTTGGGATGGTACTCTGCAGGTGATGAGCAGAGCTGGTTTCCTTCAAACATGATGCTTGGAATTGAGGTTCATCAGACCAGAGAATCTTGTTTCTGACAGTCCTTTAGGTACCGTTTTGCAAATTCTAAGGGTGTTTTCATGCGTCTTCACTGAGGAGAGGATTGAGTCTGGCCACACCGCCATAAAGCACAGATCGGTGGAGTGTTGCAGCGATGTTTGTCCTTCTGTAGATTTCTCCCAGCTCCACATATGATCATGGAGCTCAACTAGAGTGACCATCAGGTTCTTGGTCACCAGTCTAGACAAAGCCCTTCTCCATTAATTGCTCAGTTTGGCCAGGAGGCCAGCTCTACGAGGAGTCCTGGTTGTTTCAAACTTCTTCCATTAAGGCTAACAGAGACTACATGCTTTTGTAAACCTTCAATGCTGCAGACATTTCTCTGTACCCTTCCCCAGATCTGTGCCTCAATACACTCCTTACCCTTCTCCATTAATTGCTCAGTTTGGCCAGGAGGCCAGCTCTACGAGGAGTCCTGGTTGTTTCAAACTTCTTCCATTAAGGCTAACAGAGACTACATGCTTTTGTAAACCTTCAATGCTGCAGACATTTCTCTGTACCCTTCCCCAGATCTGTGCCTCAATACACTCCTTATCTCTGAGGTCTACAGACAATTCCTTGGACTTCATGGCTTGGTTTGTGCTCTGATATGCACTGTGAGACCTTATATAGACAGGTGTGTGCCTTTCCAAATCATGTCCAATCAACTGAATTTGCCACAGGTGGACTCCAATCAAGTTGTAGAAACATCTCAAGGATGATCAGTGGAAACAGGATGCACCTGAGCTCAATTTTGAGTGTCATGGCAAAGGCTGTGAATAATTATGTACATGTGATTTTCATTTTTTATTTTTAATAAATTTGCAAAGATCTCAGACAAACTTCTTTCACATTGTCATTATGGGGTATTGTTTGTAGAATTTTGAGGAAAATAATGAATTGAATCCATTTTGGAATAAGGCTGTAACACAACAAAATGTGGAAAAAGTGAAGCGTTGTGAATACTTTCCGGATGCACTGTATACTGTATAAGCTTTTATATCTTTATTTATAGATGTTTTATATCTTAAGTCTATGGTAGGACCCTATATTTAGTTAAGTGTCTAAATGTATGTTTTTATGTGTGTGTGTGTGTTTGTGTACCTGTTTGGGGACTTAAACCTGAATACGCACGTGTCTCATGGGGACTCGTGTCACGGTGGGGACCTAAATTGAGGTCCCCACGGGTAAACAAGCTAATAAATCACACAGAATGAAGTTTTTTGGAAATCAAAAAAATGCAGAAAGTTGTAGGTGTAGGGAAATAGAATATACGGTCTGTACAGTAGAAAAACCATTACTCCTATGGAGAGTCCCCACAATGGATAGCAAACCAGATGTGTGTGTGTGTGTGTGTGTGTGTGTGTGTAAGAAAGTGCGGAAAGGGGAGGAAGCTCATCACTGGGAAGTGGGCCAGCCTTGATGAGCACTTATTCAGGTTCTATTTAAACTGGTGCCATTAATTGTACAGTGTGGAAAGCTGTTATTTGAATTTGTGCATGATGTTTGACAGTCAATATTAGCCTTGATTGCGCCACAACCCTTTAAACCTTTAACAGTCCGATGATTGTATTTTGTCTGTTTAGAGAGGTGGAGGGATTTGTGGTCCCTGGATTCCAGATGATGGCGAAATTGTAACCCACACGGTATCCAAAGCTGGCAAGATGAGCCAACTGCTCTGGACATCAAAGGTTACAAGCAATTTTTATTTTAGGTTTAATTTTATATTATTATTTTATTTTTGTATTATTATTATTACTATTATTATTCTTTTTTATTAATTATTTTACTCTTTGAATTATTTTATTTTATTTTAAATGGTGATTTTTTTTTTTTTTTACCCAGGTGGTGCTGGTCCATTTAGGAGTTACATCGGTCATTGCTCATATCAAAGTGGGACAGATGCATGCAGCACTAGAGTCCAAGGTGTTAGTAGTCAGCGCTCAAGGTTAGTATAACTTGATAAATGCTTTAGGGATTTACAGAAAAGATGTCTTCAAACAATTGGTACATCAAGGATATAGATGTTATTAAAAATAAACCTAGTGTTTGATTAAGCAAGGTTGACATTTTAATACTGATCCAGGAAATCATTAGTGTCATATGAGAACAAAATTAAGGTTTGTCTAGGGGTGTTTGTCTAGGTCAGGGGTAGGCAAGTTCAGTCCTAGAGAGCCGCAGTCCTGCAGAGTTCAGCTCCAACCCTAATCAAACACACCTGAACAAGCTAATCAATGTCTCCAGGATTACTAAGGCTATAGGCAGGTGAGTTTTGTTTTCAGGGTTGGAGATGAAATCTGCAGGACTGTGGCTCTCTAGGACCGAACTTGCCTACCCCTGACCTAGGTTATGTTGCACTTTCATTTGTACTTGTGTGTCAGTGTGTGGCGACAACATCTGTGAGCTGGAGGAGAGCTGTCTGACATGTCCTGCTGACTGTGGGGTTTGTCCTATGTCCACATCCATCAAAGTGGCCATTGGGCTTCCTGTGGCCTTGTTCTGCAGTGGTTTCATCTTGATGCTGGTGGTGAGAATGTCGGTTCAACACTTGACAATGATTTGCAAGTCGATACAACTTGCAGATGATAAAATGGGACAAGAAACTTACATTGAAGGAAGGAATAGATCAAATGGATTTTGATTTGATTTGAACCAAGTAAGCAATCAACTCCCATCTCAGCAGACACATTAGCAACATGCATAGCAATAATCTAGCAATCACTAACAATACCCTATATGGGTTTTTCACAGGAAAGTACCACTCACATTTTTACAGAGCCATGGACATGGAAATGATAAAGATATGAGATTTGGGAAAAAAGTAGATGAAAATGCTTCTGCGTTCACTTGCAAAACTGTTGTGTTCTTATGAAAAACCTTGCATTTGTTTGCAAATTTTTTGCGTTTTCTTGCAAAACTACTGCAAAAAAATAGCATTTTGCAACTTTTGTGTTCCTACAAAAAACTTTGCATTCAATTGCAAAACGTTTGCGTTCCCATGAAAAACTTTGCATTCGCTTGCAAAACCTGCCCAGCAGAGACAGGACGTCAATATAACGTCGGACAGACGTTGCATTTTGGTTGAGAATGAAAATCGGGTTGACGTCACCATCAATGTCAGCTGACGGTGGTAATGAATATCAAATTAACATTGACATGAGACGTTGAATTGACATTGAATTTTGGTCACCTGATGTCGCAACCGAAATGTAACCAAATATCAATGTCTTATGACACTGTGTGCCTGCTGGGTGTGTTCCTCCGTGAAACTATGCGTTTACTTGGAAAAACTTTTAAGTTCTCCTGAAAAAGTTTGCTTTTGCATTACCCCAAGAATCGTTGAAAAGTTTTGCAATCCCCCAAGAGACTTTGTGTTTGCTTGCAAAACTGTTGTGTTTCTCAAATAAACTTTTATGTACTTGGAAAACTTTTAAGTCCTCCTGAGAAACTTTTCATTCACTCTCAGTACTTTTGCGTTTCCCCAAGAATCTTTGTGTTTACTTTGTTATTATTTGCAACACCATTGTGTTTCCCCAATGAAACTTTGCGTTCACTTGCAAAACTTTTGCATTTCCCCAAGAAATGTTGCATTTACTTTGGTTGCTTGCAACACCTTTGTGTTTCCCCTAAGAAACTTTGTGTTTGCTTGCATCTCAAATTGTTTTCTATCACCACGTTCCTTTAGAGGCTAAAAAACTAGTCAGTAATGTATTATTCTGGCTAAGTTGTTACATTTGTTACAAACCATATTACTTGTGTTTTCCTATTATGATTTTTCCCCCCTAGTGGCTGCAATACCAAAAACAGAAAATGATTTGGGATGAGAGCTGGATCATCACCTACAATAATATCATGTTTGGTAAGAGGTTTTAGTCTCATCACTGTTACATTAACAACATTATTGTTTGTATTATTTTATATGACAAAACAATTCCTAGTCAATTAATTTTTTTTCTAACTGAACATCCTGTTTCATGCCAATATAGAATTGGTTTTCTTGGTTATTAAATATTGTTGCATTTATGCTGAACTAGTTTTTGGGCCTTCCCAGGTAAAGTGTGTTACACAGGTTTATGTAGCAGCACAAGTCTTCAGACTGTAAAGAGGAACTCCAGTGTGAGTAGAGTCACAGATGTGACGGTCTGCACTGCAGTCAACACTTCAAACAACTTCAAACCACGCTTCATTCAGGCCGGCATCTAGTGAGTGTTTTCAGTGATACTGCCTCTTGGGTATCTCTACTGATGCATTTTCTAAAACTGATGGTCTTGTCTTTGTTTTGTTTTGTCTGTGTTATTTTTGTCTTGTCTTTTTTGTTTGTTGTCTTGTTTTTTGTCTTGTCTTTGATTTGTTCTGTCCTTTTTTGTCTTGTCTTGTTTTTTGTCTTGTCTTTGTTTTGTTTGTCTTGTCTTTGTTTTGACTTTTTCTGTTTGTCTTGTTTTTATGTCTTGTTTTTTGTCCTTTTTATGTCGTTTTTGTTTGCCTTATCTTTCAGGGTTTCAGCAGGATTTTAAAGCTCAAATTGAAGACCTTTTTAAGACCTGCACAAATAAAATTAATACCATATGAGCGGGGTAGTACCATATTAAACTGTAAAATTACTGTAAAAAGCCTAATTTACAGTTCAGATACAAGTTTTCACAAAAACAAAAAGTTTAATCAAATTATAAACTTTACATTTCAGCCTTTAAACCATTTTTAAGAATATGGATGAGTCAAAAGTATTAATTATTATATTAATTTAAACCATTATTATCAATAAATTATTACATCAATTAAATAACATAAATTAGGGGTGTGCGATATTGACAAAAAATGATATCTCGATAATTTTCTGGGATTTTATCGATAACGATAATTAGACAATATTTTGCTGAATGTGTTATTGTGCTGATATCTTATCACTAATTGTGCTGACAGCTGACTCCTGAATGTTTTGATATTCTTCATATTACGTGTGGTCAGTTCACAGCAGTGAGAGAAATTTCTAATTTTTTTTTATAAGTTTTATGGGCATTTTTACCTTTAAGCCATTTCTTCTAAAAGTGTGCACCATCTTTTGAGTCAAATTCTTGCGTTTGGGTTGTTACCAGCAAATGAAATCAGTATCAACAAAATTGATCTTTGCAATGCAGAGGAAACACAGAAGCTGCATTAGAAGTGACATTTAGATGCATTTACACACTGTTTAATGCAGCTCTGAGGGACATTAACTACTTTAACCTGCAGTTACAAATGCATGCATAATGTTTTGATATTTTAAATATAAAACATTGAAAACTGATGTTTGAAATTATTTAAAAAATGAAAAGGTACCTTAAATGTGAAATTAAAACCGCCAGTAGGTGGCAGCAAGTGACTATTAAGTGAGCCATTGCGACTGAACCGAATCATTTAAACGGTTGATTCATTCAGGAACAAAACAGCCTCCTGTTGCTCAGAGATGCAAAACAGTGCCATGGCTGTGTTTGGAATGATTTTTGTTGGCGAAATAGAGCAAAAACAGGAAATATAATGTCTAAAGCGTAAGTCTCTTAATATTAACTTCAATCGTTTATTGAACTGTTGTATAAAATCAATATCACATTTGTAATCATGCTGACTTTTGGAGAAAAAAAGGCACTTTTCGTGTGATACTAACTATATGAAATGATATAAATATATACATTTTCTGCCCCATATCTTCACTGCATTTTAATAGAGTGATTCATGCAGTGAAAGAATGCACTCTAAATGCGCACGCGCACTAGTCTAACCTACTAGACTTCATCACCTAATCATCACCGTATTCTGTAGGTGTTTTGTTTGCTTTTCGCAATATACTCGATAATATCAAATCGCACATCGCAAAAACAACAATTATGATATTATCGCAGACCATACATATCGCACACCCCTATACTGTTTAGATTTTTATAATGCATTGTCTTCTTATCGATCCGCCAGTTCACATTTAAAGCTCTGCGTGTTTGCAGGGTAAAAACATGGGTCGATTTTTGCATTGGTCTGAACTCTGAACAAAACATCAGTTTTATTGAAAATGCTCATTCATTCTCTGCCAGCAGGTGGAGTGTTTGGTAGAAATATCACTATTTTCCTGGTAACTGCTGTACACAGAGCAGCGCAGCATGGGACTTTGAACATGCAGCGCTCATGTTTATTTAATGAAATCATAGCCTTTTGAAGTTTAATCGTCACATTCAGCCATATCGCTATTCTGGTCTTTCCGTCCCCAAATTTAAGACCTCTTGAAATCATAATTAAGACTTTCTTGTACAATGTAAGACTTTTTAAGGCCTTAAATTTGATACAACTAAATGTAAGACTTTTTAAGACCCGCGGAAACCCTGATCTTTGTTTCATTTTGTCATTTTTGTTTGTCTGGTCTTGTTTTGTTTTTTGTCTTGTCTTTTCTTGCCTTGTCTTTTTTTATGTTTTGCCATTGTTTACTTTTGTTTGTCTTGTTTTTTTGTCTTTGCTTTTATATCTTGTCATTGTTTTGTAATTTTTATTTTTGGTTTGTCTTGTTTTGTTTTTTGTCTTTATCTTGTCTTTCTTGTCTTGTCTCGATTTTTTTGTGTTGTGTTGTCTTATATCTTAACTTTTTTTGTTTTGTGTTTTCTTTTGTTTTTACAGTGATGGAAGGACTGTAGCTGTAAAACACATACAGAAGAAACACTTTACCCTCACCAAAACAATCAGAAAAGAGGTAAAAGAGGTCAGGTGAGTAGCTGTACCCACAATTCTTGCAAATGAAACTACACTGAAATCAGACGTACATTTACTTGGACAAGTGACTTGTCCATGATTTTGTGATGGGTAATTCAAGCCAAATATTTGGCGAAGAAATTAAGACTGTTACTGTTTATTTTTTACCAGGGAGCTTGATCACCCAAACCTTTCCAAGTTCTTAGGAGGTTGCATTGAAGTTCCTTTCATAAGCATTATCACTGAATACTGTCCAAAGGGAAGCCTGGCAGATGTGCTGTTGAACGAGGATGTCCCCATCAATTGGGGTTTTCGGTAAATCTGTCTTGTGGCATTGTGAGAAAGCTCTTTAAATGCTTCAGGATTGTACTTCATAAATAAAGTGAACACTTAACGTTTACAGATTGTCTTTTGCTACTGATATTGCTCGAGGAATGGCTTACCTGCATCAGCACAAAATGTTCCATGGCCGTCTTCATTCACGCAACTGTGTGATTGATGACCGGTGGGTCTGCAAAATATCAGGTACATCATTTTAGATTTTCTAGAGGCGTACTTCTTAGATATATTACAACTCGAGAAAAATCTGAAATAAGACATAATGTTTAATGATACAGATTACGGGCTGATGGCCTACAGAAAGGAGGACTTTGAGGACATGAGCACCAATTTCCAATGTCAAAACGTCTATCGCATTTACTGCGCACCTGAAGTTCTGCTGAGAATCAGCACTCGTATGACTAATATCTTTTTAATTAATATATTATTTCTATCGGTGACAGGCATGTTACCAAAAGCAGTGGCTGATGATCTTCGTCAGGGACGTACAGCAGAAGCCCAAAGTTACTCCAATGCCACTGTATATTTCAGGCAAGCATGAAAATTATTGATATATATTTGTAATAAATATTTGCTTTTAGCGACAAGTGACATTTGGCTATATAATATAATAGGTTAATAAGTACAGTAACTTTTTATACAGTAAAATGTATTTTATGCTTACCAGGGTTGGATTTACAGTAAAAATAGTAATCTGAAATACTTAAAATAACTGTTTTCTATTATAAAATATTTTTAAATGTAGTAATTTTTTTTAATCAATTTGAAATATAACATTTTTGTTTCCATTTTTTTTGTTTCCATTTTTTGCTATGCCTTTACTGTCACTTTTGATAATTGTAATGCATTATGTCAAATAAAAGTATCATATTCTTAAAAAAACAAACAAAAAAAAAACTGGCAACCCAAACATTTGAACTATGTATTGTATAATAAATTATTTAGTGCTGTCAAACAATTAATCGTGATTAATCACATCCGAAATAAAAATTTATGTTTACATTATATATGTATGTGGACTATGAATATTTATTATGTATATATAAATACACACACATACAGTATATATTTTGAAAATGTTTATACATTTTTATATTCATATTTGTATATTTTATATAATATATAAATAAATTAAATATATAAACATAACCTATTTTTCTTAAATATATACATGCATGTGTTTGTATTTATATATACATAATAAATGTTCACAGTACACATACATATATAATGTAAACCTAAACTTTTATTTTGGATGCGATTAATCGCGATTAATCGTTTGACAGCACTAAAATTATTCTATCTATTGGCCAGTGACATAGTGGGCTTCACCCAGCTGTCTGGCTCCAGCACCCCTCACCAGGTTGTGGATTTCCTCAACAAGCTTTACACCACATTTGATGACATCATCGACAACTACGATGTGTACAAAGTGGAAACTATAGGAGATGCTTGTGAGTGCGTTTACAGAGATCCAGCTTCCTTTGTTCGCCACACTTTTGCATTAAATTACACATAAATCAATGAAAATTGATTTCTCTCCCTCCTCAGATATGGTGGTCTCGGGTGTACCGAAAGAGAACGGGATCAATCACGCTGGGGAAATCGCCAGCATGGCGCAGGACTTGATCAGTGTCTGTAACACGTTTAAAATCCCACACAAACCCACCACACAGCTTAAGATACGAGCTGGCATTCATTCAGGTCAATATAGCTTCAGCCCTTCATTTGTCCTGAACTTAGCATCAAGCTATGTCCTTTGAATGAGATGTATTTTATGTTATCTTAGGTCCCGTTGTAGCTGGGGTGGTTGGCACCAAAATGCCACGGTACTGCTTATTTGGCGACACTGTAAACACAGCATCCCGTATGGAGTCCACCAGTGAAGGTATTTGGGCAAACGCAGCTGTTTGCACAGAGTCAATTAGTAACTGATCCTGTCTGCCATTTCTGGGGGAGTGGAATCTTATAAATATTTGCACTGTTTTATTGGTTAGAATGTAATAAAACTGAATGTTGGATCCAAATATGTCCCTTTCTTGAACTTCTGTAAAGATCAAACGTGCTTTTCTATGTCTAATCGTTGTTTTATGATGTTTACAGCTTTAAAGATCCAGTGCAGTGGCTCTACAGCAGATCTTCTACACACACTTGGTGGATATGTGCTGATGTGTCGTGGGTCTCTCAATGTGAAGGTAAAGTCCGAGACACACTGCACGATTTTAGCAATCCTATAAGATCATTGCATGTCACAGTGTGCGACATGGATCTGATAAACTTGGCTACGACATGTGTGTAGACTGTACGATGATGACACCTATTGACTCATACACTAAGACACACGTTACTATAGTTGAATAAATTCAGCATGTGCTAAACAAAAACCGCAAGATAAATCACTTTAGCAGTTGTATTTTTTTATGTGGCCTCAAAAAAAGTGGAAGCGGCGAAAGAGGAAGGGATAAGAGCTTGAGGTAAGCAGTTTTATGTTTTAGCATCATGTCGCATTGATTTCATGTCGCGTTTTTATTGGCTGGTCAGTAAACGTGGATCATAGCAGCAAACACACTGTGTGATCTTGCTATCTTTGGTCGCAAGACCGTGACAACGGCCGTCTTTGAACCTTTGTAGTATTTATAATGCTTTTATTATCATACTATTTTATCTTATTTATAATAGATTTTATCTTTTTATTCAGAAACTGATCTGGTATGTTACAGACCTTTCTACCAAATCAATCTGCTATTGATCTTTTTCTTCCTGAGATGATGGTATGGTCCCCTGAGGCTGAACTGCAAACCTTAGCGCAGCAGCTGTGATTTATCTCAATTATAGCACTCGGCCCCAGCTGGCTTTTGCGTTTTCACTAAAGTGATATCTGTTCATTATGCACAAGTGAATACACACCTCTGCTCTGTCGCTCTCCCCCCCTCTTTCTTTCTTTTGAATGATGCTGTCCTTCAGAGTATTGTGTTTAAGATACACTGGAGGAGATTTACTAATTGTGACTCTTTGTTAAACAGGGGAAAGGCGAAATGACAACTTGGTGGTTGGAGGCAAAAAGAAGCCCCACATACCCTTTGTTCAGTGAAGACGAACCTTTGGGGCTTCCTGTTCCTGTTAGCAGTTAACGTATGTGCTACGTTCATGAAACGGTAGGGTGACCATACGTGCCATTTTCCCAGGACGTGCCCTGGCCAGAATTTCTATATTGCCTAAAATATCTAGGTTTTGGCTTTGTTTGCGTGTGCATGACAGTGTATGATACCAAAGTGCCATACAGACGGATCCTTATGCTTTCAAAATGCTCTCGAGGTATTTTGATGTCATACACCGATCGGTCTGCACACGCAAACAAAGCCAAAACCTAGATATTTTAGGCAATATAGAAATCCTGGCCAGGATGTGTCCTGGGAAAATGGCACGTATGGTCACCCTGTGAAACGGTCACAGAAACCTTAACAAATAAATAGACATGTTTACCAGATATGCTAACTGACTTAAGTGTATACTTAGTGTTTGTGTATGCTATTACATTTGATTGCTGCTATGCTGAAATATTGCTGCTGTTATTGTTTTGTGTATTTGACAAGATGTTGTATGTCGTGTTTGGAAGATTCATATGAAGGGCAGGTGTGTTCATAGAGACAACTTTTCATTAAATATTTGTGGTTATTTTATCTTCATCAGTGCATAGGTTGTATTTTAAAGTATATATGCTGGAATAAAATGTCCAAGCTGGTTTGTCTGATGTAAATGTTCTAATAAATATTTAGTTTTGCAGTGATAAACTATATTTTAGCACCACGTTACTAAAACTATCACTATATCACAATAAACTACATTACTTCATTACAGTAACTAACCTATTTTAGTGTTTAGCGCCTGCATTGACTGCGACGACGCCTATTGGTGGATATTCTGCATGAGTTACGCAAATGACACGCCCTCGTTTTCGTTGCATGGCAACGCATTCGCTTGTGAGTGTTTTGGTTCAAGGTTGTGCTGCAGAAGGCGCCAGCATCAATGTAACGACGTGCTACAGTAAGACACTTTATTACGCAAATTATCTGGAAAAGATGTATCAATCCGTGCCGAATGTCGGGAAATGAAGCTGACAAACCTCACGAGTGCTCTTGAATGCCAACAGATACGCAGTAAGTGAACCGCTGATGGTTAAAGTCCTCATTTGTTAACCACGACATCTGTATGTTATTCTGAAACGCTTTATGGCGCATAAGCCATTGCAATTTTGTGTAAATTCGGCGTCCTAGCGCAGAAATCCTTCTATTCACTTTAACCTACTTTAGATCTGATCATGGTGTGCTCTCTCTAGGTGTGTACTAGCTTTTCATGGATTTTTATATTAAGTCGTTTAGTGGAATAAGCATTTTGACACGGTCTCAGTACTCACAGCTATTTAGAATTAATGAAAGTGTTTTTTTTCATTCATTCATGCATTCATTTATTGTATAGTTTCATAACAATCTGCATGTACTGTCATTTCAGATGTACTCTTTTTTTTTTTTTTTTGGATAGAGCTGTAGTAAAACACCTGTAAAAAATAAATATGAAAATTCCTTCATATTAACACTATTTGTACTTTTCTCAATTCTTTCTTTCTTTCTTTTTTGTTTTGTTTTTCCACAGTCATGGACATATCAGGGAATGAAATGTAGGGTTTTATAGTTTCCCATTCATGGAATAGTAAAATATCATTTTTGAAAACGGATGGAAATGGCTATACACTATTATAAAATCGAGCTTTTTTTAAATTGGCATTAATGGTTCCATGAAGAACCTTTAACATCCATGGAACCTTTCCATATTTTCTTTTTTTTTTTTTTTTTTTGGATAGAGCTGTAGTAAAACACCTGTAAAAAATAAATATGAAAATTCCTTCATATTAACACTATTTGTACTTTTCTCAATTCTTTCTTTCTTTCTTTTTTGTTTTGTTTTTCCACAGTCATGGACATATCAGGGAATGAAATGTAGGGTTTTATGAAATGTTTTATAGTTTCCCATTCATGGAATAGTAAAATATCATTTTTGAAAACGGATGGAAATGGCTATACACTATTATAAAATCGAGCTTTTTTTTAATTGGCATTAATGGTTCCATGAAGAACCTTTAACATCCATGGAACCTTTCCATTCCACAAAAAGTCTAGTTATAGAAAAGGGTTCTTTAGATTTTTCAGATGTTCTTCACACTAAGAACAGTTCTTTCAATTTCATGAACTGTTCACTGAAAGGTTATTAGGGAAACCAAAATGGTTCTTCTATGTCATCACAGCAAAAAAATTTATAAACGAAATTAAATAAACTCATCATTTTCTGCGTATTAGTAGTTAGTAAGGTAGTTGTTAAATTTAGGTGTTGGGTAGGATTAGGGATGTATAATATGGTCATGCAGAATATGTGCTTTATATGTATTAATAAACAGCCAATATGTTAATAATAGGCATGCTAATAAGCAACTATATAACCCTAAAGGCCCGTTCACACCAAGCACGATAACGATATAGTTCTAAAAATAGTTCTCAATATTAAAGAATAGCATAGTTCACACCACAACTATAACGATAACGATACAGAGGAACGATATCGTTGGAATCACTTTCAAAACGATTTTTTCCCAGCTGATGAACGATAAAACACAGACAGCCAATCAGAATCCATCCTGCTGTAATGAGCTCAAGAATTAAAGCGGCAGACGCGCGTGCGCTTAGAATAAACAGACGATATCGTTCGCTGGTGTGGACGCTAATATCGTTATCTTTATAGTTATCGTTCTTGGTGTGAATGGGGCTTAAACCTATATAGTGAGAATTGGTCCCTAAAGTGTTACCATTTTTTCTCCTTTATGGAACTTGACAAATGTGGTAACAGCAGGTTTGGAGTGCTAAGGCTGAGTAAATAACATAACATTATTTCTGGGCAAATCAGTTGCGTTTGGCATATTATTCAAGTTTCCAGCACATAGGTGAAGAAAATAAGAGATTTTAGCTGGCGTTCCAGATAACCAAAATCTCGTGGGGAAAGGGAAAGATTAGGCGACTCAAAATACCGTGGAAAGTTATTTTAAGGACAGGTTCCCCTCCTAACCTAGTTTAGAGCAGTATTCGCAATCACTCAGAAGAACCAGTACCACATGTACTTGAGACAAATCTTTACAATTAATAGTGTATTTTCTGATTATGCATTATTTTATACATCTAACTATTTATGTCTATGTTTCTCGTTCTTTTCTAGAACATATAGGCATTATTGACTAGAATGTCTCCTTCAAGACTCTACACGGCATCGGTCATGCCTCCTCTGCCTTTAAGTTCTTTCAACGTCTCAAGCAACTTCTGCACGGAAGAGAATGTCTCTGAGTGCATTCTGTACATCAATCAGGTAGGTGCACTTTTATTTTTTTTGCAACTTGTCTTTTGAGTTTGAAGAAGAAGAATCTGGTAGAAGAATCTAAACAAGAACAAACTTGAATCTCGTATTTGTTAATGGACTTGTCACTCTTTACATTCACAGGAGTTGTCGTCCCTGTGCTTTCCACCAATTTTCCAAAATTCGGACAGCATTCGTGATCTGGATGCTGTGGTTGCCCTAAACAACATACATGACTTGCTTCAGCTACACCGTCGAGCTGTTGGAATGATGGAGGAGCTGGAGGTGGAGCAGCTCAAGTCCAGCAGTGACCTCCACTACCAACATCTCACCAACTCCAGGCTAAAGGTTTGGTCTTTTTATCACACTTTTTTATTTTATTGTTCATTTTTTATTTTACTATGAATTTTCACTGTTTTGTAGGACCAGCTTGAACTTTCGAAAAAGGAAAACATGCGCTTGCATGAGCGAGAGCGTCAGCTGGAAACAAATTTAAAGACTTTGCAAAACTGCCTAAAAGATACAAAAGAAGAGGTATGAAAAATGAGCGAGAAAGCTGTGCTGTCATGTACTGTTTTTCCTCCCCAAAAAATATGTTGTAGTTATCGTTCTTGGTGTGAATGGGGCTTAAACCTATATAGTGAGAATTGGTCCCTAAAGTGTTACCATTTTTTCTCCTTTATGGAACTTGACAAATGTGGTAACAGCAGGTTTGGAGTGCTAAGGCTGAGTAAATAACATAACATTATTTCTGGGCAAATCAGTTGCGTTTGGCATATTATTCAAGTTTCCAGCACATAGGTGAAGAAAATAAGAGATTTTAGCTGGCGTTCCAGATAACCAAAATCTCGTGGGGAAAGGGAAAGATTAGGCGACTCAAAATACCGTGGAAATTTATTTTAAGGACAGGTTCCCCTCCTAACCTAGTTTAGAGCAGTATTCGCAATCACTCAGAAGAACCTGTACCACATGTACTTGAGACAAATCTTTAAAATTAATAGTGTATTTTCTGATTATGCATTATTTTACACAGCTAACTATTTATGTCTATGTTTCTCGTTCTTTTCTAGAACATATAGGCATTATTGACTAGAATGTCTCCTTCAAGACTCTACACGGCATCGGTCATGCCTCCTCTGCCTTTAAGTTCTTTCAACGTCTCAAGCAACTTCTGCACGGAAGAGAATATCTCTGAGTGCATTCTGTACATCAATCAGGTAGGTGCACTTTTATTTTTTTTGCAACTTGTCTTTTGAGTTTGAAGAAGAAGAATCTGGTAGAAGAATCTAAACAAGAACAAACTTGAATCTCGTATTTGTTAATGGACTTGTCACTCTTTACATTCACAGGAGTTGTCGTCCCTGTGCTTTCCACCAATTTTCCAAAATTCGGACAGCATTCGTGATCTGGATGCTGTGGTTGCCCTAAACAACATACATGACTTGCTTCAGCTACACCGTCGAGCTGTTGGAATGATGGAGGAGCTGGAGGTGGAGCAGCTCAAGTCCAGCAGTGACCTCCACTACCAACATCTCACCAACTCCAGGCTAAAGGTTTGGTCTTTTTATCACACTTTTTTATTTTATTGTTCATTTTTTATTTTACTATGAATTTTCACTGTTTTGTAGGACCAGCTTGAACTTTCGAAAAAGGAAAACATGCGCTTGCATGAGCGAGAGCGTCAGCTGGAAACAAATTTAAAGACTTTGCAAAACTGCCTAAAAGATACAAAAGAAGAGGTATGAAAAATGAGCGAGAAAGCTGTGCTGTCATGTACTGTTTTTCCTCCCCAAAAAATATGTTGTTTTATCAAATATGCTTTTTACTTTAATAGGTACAAAGGCTGCAGGGTATCATTGCAAGTCGTGCCATACAATACAACCATGACATTAAGAGAAGAGAAAGGGAGCACAACAGAGTAAAGGAGCGCCTCAATCAACTACTCATTGCCAAAAAGGAAAATAAACAAGGTAATATGTATCACTTGAAGGGGTCATGAGAAATCAAATTTGCCTTGATCTTTTGGCATATAAGAGGTCTTCGGACCATTAAAACATCCTGGAAGTTTCATATCTTAAAGTGTCCTCCTCATTATAAACAAACAAAGCATTTATTTAATCAAGCTCCAAAAACGGCTCGTTTTGGTTCTGAGGTGCAAGCTGACGTCACCCGGGCACAACCATTTGCATAAACACTGCCTCCAGAGCAACGCATCGACGAATAGTCATCTTCTCACCACAAGCCCCGCCCACTGGCATTCAGTCACTTAATGGCTTGACACTTGATTACACTGAATGCAAGTGTCACGTTGTGTTGTGTTGCGTCGCGTCACGTCAAAAGCAAATAGAAATTACAATCACTGCCGCTATCTTGTCTACACTAGATATAGTATACAGATGCCCGTTCGCTTTCTGACACAATCCACCCGCTCGAGTCTGTTAGGACAAATGGAGTGAAAGAACATTCGCTTTGACGCGTTTGGTTTAAACAGCTCGTTCGCGTCTTTGTACAGATATCAGAAGGATCCCAGTGTAAGGAACAAGTGGATAGTTTATTTTTAATGGCATCGTGTCAGAGGATTGGTCGGAGCATTTTGTTTTGTAAACGGTGCACAGTGTCATGGAAAGTTTACAAAGAAATATTTGTTGAAAGATGAAGCCTTTGTCACTAGATCTGACTGCAGCTGCATCACAAACCATAAGTAAATGATTTCATAATGCTTTGTCTGGAAATTACCATTTTATTTTGATCATGCTGTCAAAACACTCACATGCAATAGCAAGGGGACGTTGATACTGTTTCCTATGCAATGACGTTAGCCAATCAAAACTATCTTATCTGATCATCTTTCCACGTATTTATTTGTTTTTTTGTGCACAAAACTTTATTGACTTTATAAGTAAACCTCAAGGAACATATTAAAAAAATTAAAAATCAATGTCATGATCCCTTTAAATATATATTTTAATAGAATAACATATTGAATATACTGTTTTATTAGCATCTGTAAGACTTCTTATACAGTAAAATAGTAATATTGTGAAAAAAATATTAAAATAACTCCTTTCTATTTTAATATATTTTAAAATGTAGCTAATTTATTGCTGTGATGGGAGTGCTGAATTTTCAGCATCAGGCTTCAGTGTCACATGATCCTTCAGAAATCATTCTAATAATAATACATTTTGTCTTTGGACTTTTGATAATTATAAAGTTCACAGGAATAGCGTTTATGTGATTTTTCCATCTCATTTAATCAGATGAATGCATCTGTTCTGAATGACAGTGTTTATGCTGATATACACTCAAAACCAGTGAAGTTCACTCTTGACTTTATTTGCATAAAGAAACAATTCACCCACAAATGAAAAATTTTAATTATTTAGTGACCCTAATGTCATTTGAAAATCTTTTGAAAATAATTTCTGCTTTGTGTCAGGAATGGAGGTTTTGAATTATGTTGGAAGGTCGGATGGTAGGAGATGTCTTTGGAAAACTGGAAAAACTGAATCTAGGTAAAAGACAATCATTTTGGTTGTTTGTCGGCATTATATTTATAGTTCCCCTTCACTATAATATCATATGACAACTTTAGACATTTTTTGTTTTTTAGACATGAGGGAGATATGTACAAAACTCTTCTCAGTGAATTTGATAACCGTCAGAGGGAGCTAATGGTGGAAAACATAGAGCTGAAGAAGGTGCTTCAGCAAATGAAACGAGAAATGGTGGGGGTTTTAAATTCAAAGAAGATGAGCCAAAAAGAAGAGAAGCAAAGCAATGATATGGATCAGGTACAGTATGACTGTCAAGTCCATAACAAATATTTTACACTAAACACTTCATGATACAACTAATAATTATTTGTGTTTGCTAATGGTATTTTTTTTTGGGGGGGGGGGGGTCATATTTCAGTCGACTCTGCAGACAAATTCTGATGATGATGAACTTTTGAAAGGACATCCTGAGATGTCATGTGATCATGCTCGGGAGAAACTCACCAACAGCATTCGTCAGCAGTGGAGGAAACTCAAGCACCATGTTGAGAGATTAGACAGCCAAGGTAGAGGATACCATTCACAGACTTTTAAGGCAAACAGAATTTAATCTCACCTTTTTGTTCATCACCATCTTTTCCTTTATTTCTTGAGCAGCCTTATCACCTAATGCACACATTAGACACACAAACCTGTTGTAAAAATAAAAATACTGTGAAAGGTGGTGTATTTTGTGTTGAAGCATCCATGGTGCAAGATGAAGACAGTGAAGAGGTGATCTCCAAACAACTCCATGAAGAGGAGATGGAGAGGCTCAAACTAGAAATCCAGCAGTGCAAAGAGTTTATTGAGACTCAACAGCAACTTCTCCAAGTAAGTAGAAGCACACAGACTTCTTCACGGCTAGTTTTTGCGTATTTCATTTCATTCTGTAACCTACTTGTTCTACAGATCTGTGTGTACTAGTGTTAAATGCTACTGTTTTTGACAGCGTTGATAGCATTATGACAGATAATATCATGATAATTTTTGCGTTTCCCTTTATGAATGTCGTATCCTGTCAGCAAAAACCTGTCCATGGGCTTTTTTTGATTGCTTTCAGTTTAAGTGCCGGCGATCAGCAGTGTTGCCAGATATTGATACTAAAACAAACAAAAAACTAAAAATAAATAAAAATAAACTGACATTTTTTCCAATATTTTGCTAATAAAATAAGATAAAGATATCGCTGACTCTAAACTGCAACTTCCTACTTTATTAACTTTCTAAAGTGTTAAATTAAGTCTCGGAGCAGACGTTGCCATAGTTACAATTGTCAACATCACCATTGTATTTACTAAAAACTAAATAAAACATAACGGAAATTTGTGTTTGTTTCATTCTGCCATTAATTGTTGTCATTATTAACCTTTTTTTTTTTCGTTTGGCACAAGTGAAGTTGTTTTTTATGATTTGCCTAAAGAGCATACCTGTGAGATAGCGATTGAATGAAATATAATTGTATTTATGTCTCTGTATGAGATTTTAGATGGGTCATACAGTTCTGGAAAATCTATTACACTTAAAACAATATTCTCCTCTATTTTTTCAATAGGCATTTCAGTTAAATGTTCACTGATTGGTTGAAACCGACGCGGCTGCCACTCACAAAAAGATAAAATATTACATTCACGCCGCCAATTATATTCAATTATATTCACGCCGCCAGCGTCTCACATCGATCATTTTCATACCAGGAATGCTAAACATTCTTGCAAACTGTCTAAACTGAATTAAACATGTCGTGCAGGCATTCCTATGAGGAGTTTAACAGCAAATTAATTTATTATTTAACAAATTGATGTTCCTGTGGCTCAGTGGTAGAGCATTGCGTTAGCAGCGCAAAGGTCGTGGGTTCAATTCCCAGTGAACACACATAGTGATATAAAATGTGTAGCCTGAATGCACTGTAAGTTGCTCTATATAAAAGCGTCTGCTAAATGCATACATTTAATTTAAATTAATTTTAATACAATTTTTATTTTTG